ATGGGCAGATCTTGCCTTCCTATCTCGCGCTGTGAACTGAATGACCTAAAGGTCGGTGGGGTCATGTAAGGGCCTCTATAACATTATTATAAGGCACAAAGTAGAGGCTTCGGAACGCATAATTTTGAATTGTATTCGACTTGTAGCTACAATATTAGGTGATTAATATACTAGCGCGCAACAAATCTAGATAAAAGGTGATAAAAGGTCACAGTGTTCACAAAATAATTGGAAAACGGACATTAAAGTGGACCTTACAATCACTTTTACACACTTTTTGTGAATAGTTATTTTTAATTCAGTTTCATACATACCGAATTGATTTCTTATAGCTAATCTTCGTAGCAACTCCATAAAGGTCTGGCTGCCGACCTTCGGCACACGGTTGAAAAACAACAACTCCATCTCGGAGCGCGCTGTGTTGTTGAGCTCCCAAGGATCTGGGATCGATAGTTCATCTAGCAATTCCTGTTCAATGTCCTCTTGCGATCTCCCTTCTTCTGCCTCCAACGTCCTCTGCGGTTTGCTGCGCTCCTGGTACATGAAAACATAATTCGATACAGCTAACTAGCACAGACTGTAATGTGACTATTTTAGCAAACGATCTCTATTTTTGTTATATCAACCTTACTTAATTTTTACAACTTCCATATATTCGTGTATACACATTGTAAATGTGTACTTTTACTTAACGCCTTGCTTTAGTTAAGTAATACAAGTCACGATATCTTAATTAGATTCTAGTTATCTAAATTCAAGTGCGAATCAATAGTATATGAATATTGTATTAACGTAACTGTTAAGCCAGCACTTAGTAAGCATACAAAATGTTCAGTTAGTGTTGTTAGGAATAGAAATGTGTTTACCGCTCCAGTATTCCTTCTGATAGCTTCGAGGGCTTCTTTGAACTCTTGAGAGGAGGCGTATACGCGTTCACTTCTATCAGTTTGGACTCCTGAACAAAAAACATTGCAAATAAACATTTGACACTTAAGTATATGATTTTTAAAAAAGCTTTGTCTCTTATACGTCATTTACGGCAAACATTTTACAAAATACAGTTTAATTTAGTGGACTTTAAATAAATTTGTAAAAATGTTTAGCAAGTTGTCATATATTGTAGGTATTAAGAACAAAATATTGCCAGGTTTAGTCACAAATGTGAAAAAATCACCACCGAATTTACAGTTATCTAAATATATAGCAAAGACATTTAAAAAATACATAGACGAGGCATACAACATACAAGTAATTTCTCTGAAAGGTATTATATCAGTTGTCATGTTTAGTCTTCCATCTCGTGTCCTTGTATCTACGTGAATTAAAACATTTTACAAAATTATAATAAGTGAAAAATCAACGATGTCTCCTCTATATATGTTTTGAATCTCTTTGACCTGTAGGTTGTATTTTTTTATCTTTTCTCTGTTTGATCTACTGAATAAGGATGTTGAAAATAAAAAAGATTGATCCATAATGTCTATCTAATGCGATTTTACCGTATTATTTGTTACGGTAAAATAATAATTCTATAGTTACGCGCATGCACCATATATTCCCAAATTACACACTTAATTACGTATCTTGAACCAATAATTTGCATTGATGTAGCTGAATCATATCGGAGTAGTGTAGTATGAAAATGTTTTGTAGCTAATAACAGATTTAAAAGCTTCAATTGAAATGGTCATTGACTTTAAAACAGATGAAGTATAATGATGATGGAACTCACTTTAAATTATGTTCCTAATAATAAGAGGATGTTAAAATTATTTACTATTCACAATTATATTTAATTTAACATTTTAAAACTATTCTTTTTTTTATTGAAATCAGTTTGAGGTTATTTAACAGTCACTATCAAAAAATAATTATGATAAAATAAAATTTCAAATCTATTTTAAAAGAAAAACGCGTAATAAATTGTAACTACACAGAAATTGAGTTTTTGATTGAAATTGGATTTTTTATATAAAAAATGTAATTGCATCATTCTAAAAATGATTTATTAAAAAGCGACCAAATTGCTTCTTAGGCTTAGTGAAGCTAGCAACTGCTCCTCGCTGTAGAACTAATCGGTCAATTTAAAGCACAGATATCCGAATTCCTCGCTTGTGTAATATTCTTTTGTAGTTTTACATTTGTCGCACTTTGATTCACATTTTAAAACCGTTATAAACTCACAGCTGTTACCGAAATCGATTTGCATTATAGTCAACAATTCCAATATCGATTATTTTGTGGAAAAAAAAAATACAAAGGTGTTACTGATGGATTAGCATTTAATTACTAGATAAAACCCTGCCAAAACATAAGATACAACATAAATCAATATAAATTCAGGCAATTAAGACAATGAAAAGACTTAAGAAATAATATAATTCTTTGGTAAAATAAGATGTATCAACCAGTCGTTAAAAATCCGATAATGTTATTTTTTATTTTGATTACTAATTGAAATCTTTGCTAACGACAGGAAACATCAAATGTTTTACTGTGTTTCGGGCGATTAATTAAAGGTACAAACCGGAAAAAGGACAACATTATTGTAACAAAAAAATAACATAAAACTGAAAACACAATGATGTAAATCGACTTTTGTTTTTCTGAAGATGTTTTTTTACAATTACACAACGTGAGTACATATAGCACTGAGACAGGAAAAAATTGTATATTGCCTATCATGTTACAATTTCTATGACATAAGAAGCAGGCGCAAACCCTTGACTAAACTATCGCACGACTATTGTGTGATTGTCGATTGTTTCGCAGCCAATTCAACTGTTTAGTTGCACAACAAAAGCCGAATAGTGTGCGCACCTACATATAAAGTCATAGGAATCAAAGCGAGATTAAAAAGGTATGCGATAATTCAGTCAAAGGTGCACGTTCTAACAAGTACACGATAGCTGTATATCAAATCGCCAATACATTTCTCCGTCGCATAGCATAAATCACGTCGCTCGGTATCTCACGACGCGACCTCTGCCGGATGGAAATTGTCTTTCACGAATCTATAATACGCCAATGATCAACTCGACTCGATCGCAGTATCTTTGTTATTTGAATATACGAATCCTGTTCCATATTTCGATGTAACTGGCATTGTAAATGATCGCAAGGATTATTAATAATATTGCTAACAAGGATTCACATTTAAACTTTAATATTTATCTTCTTCTCTGTTATTAAACTTATTATTTCATCCTACCTCTGAATTTGGAGTTCAGACGTCATCATTAGATTTGTTCGTGTATCGGTGGCAATGAATTTAAAGCAACAATAAAATAACTTAGATATTTCAAAATAACAGTAATGTTGGCCGTTACTTAAGCTAAATTTCAACTCTTGTATTTTTATTTTAACAAAAAAAATTGCAGCAACTGGCACAGTAACAGAATAAAAGAAAATAATAAAAGACGTACAAGAATGCTGAAAATCAAATTACGCTAGGTGTGTCGATCGACGATATTTTTGGACACGCTTTTTAGGTTGTCCATTGTGCTGCTAATAAAACGCTTTAACGCGACTGTTCGGACGATAACGAAAAAAATATCGCATCAATAAGATTAAGATAGATTATAGATAACCCTCTGGATAAAACAGCATACTATTATCAACGTAATTGCTTTCTGATTATAGGGACAACGAGTGAAAAGATCGTATTAAATAAGAGAGTTCACAAAAAACCATATTCCTATTACTAATAAGTCGTTGGAAATTGGAACGGCAAAAACTACGTCTGCATTTCGAAGATAATGGCGTCTAAGAAAACAAATAAGACGGACACTTTGATGTATATAATAGCATTGAATTTGAAAAAGTCTACCTTTAATAATTTGGTTAGCGGCGCGCATCCGGCAGAATGGCTCATAGGCTCAGCCGTCAATTACCTCAATGAAGATGTTACTGTTCCACACATTGTGGTCTATTGACACACTTTTCGATACGTATGTTATTAGAGCTTTATAAAGAACTTTTCAAGCTTTTTATTTCCATACGTTATAATTACTTACACGATGTGAAGTTAATCATTACAACTTAAGATACAGTAATGTCGATTTCGGTAACTAATATGAAGTAAAATCTGTTTTATGTGTGACCATTTAAAAGTAATGAATACCGTCATTAAGGACATTTTAATTTTGTACATCGCGTGACTGTCTATACTAATGTCGACCATTTGAAGTTTAATGATCAAATTTGAAAGTGCCAGCAGCGAAACTGTTAATTCATGACTATAATGAAAAAAAAATCCATACAATTGATGAGATCTTAAGAATTAAAAGAAAAAAAAAATTTAAAAATGCTGTCTGCTATTAAATTTGCGTTTGTTTGGTGTTATCATCAAAACATGACCAAATTTTGATGGGAATACTACTGGAAGGTAGATAATGTGAGCAGGCATAACCTAGGCAATCATGACCAAGTCGCGACCAACGGATACTTTTTAATATTCAAAAAACAGAATTGTTAAGTAACTATCCAAACATGCAATGACATAATATAACTAATTTGTACACCTAACATACAATCTACACTAATTTGTCTTATAGATTACAAAGTAATAAAAATTGAAATCGTAGTTAGTAAATTAAATTTATCACAATCACTTACAGATTAAAGGCATTTTACAACAAACTTCCATTAGTCAAATAATCGTAAAATAGTTATTTTGTTTACATGACTTGAAAGTTAATTGGAACGAATCGTACTTTTTAGACCGTTTTACGTTGTTTGATCGGCCTATAAAATTTCGGCTGTAGGTCATCACGAAATCGCTCGAACCCTTTGACCTCAAGTTGTTCTTATCGAAAAACTATATGACTTTTATTCAAGCGTGGTCTTTCACAGCTGGTACTAAAAATAGATATAAAGTTTACTTGTGTAAGAGAAATACTGTTTAAATTATTTCGATAATATTTTCAAGAACTTTTTGCACGCTATGCATTAGCATCTTTACGTGCTAAAGTGAACGTTACATTGCTTTACGCATAGATACTAAACTTTCTATCATATAGCAGATTTAGAAGATTTGTAATCTAGATTTACTGGCATTTTATACCATCTGAATTTTTTAAACATACATTTAAAGTGGACTAGAATGAGAAAGTTTTGAAAACATTTGGAATGTATTATTGCCATGTTTCTTCATAAATAAAAAGATAAGACAATTTAAGTAATAATAATTTATTAGTGTTCTTGTAGTTTTGTTCTCTAATTTTTAGTTTTTACTAGAAAATAATTGATTTATTTAAATAATTAGGGATATTGTCAACTCCAGTAAAATTACCGGGAAAAATTACTCTTCTTATGTGAGTCTTAGTACCAAAGAATGTAGACTATAACTAACATTATGATGAGCCTTAACACGTAGTAGTAGAGTTAATTTTACATTACACAGAAAGAAAAATGTCCACGGATAAGTTTTTTCGTATTTCCAATTAGTGGGACAGAATTCCTTAATTGGATACAACTAGACATTTCTTCGCGTTACATGTTTCATGGAATATATGCTAGAAGTATGCGAGTCAAATATTATGTTAACAATACGCCCTTACATCTGGTTTAGCTTTGTTAAACCTTTATAAATAGGAAGTCTAAATGTCAATAGCCAAACATTTCGTCACATTAATTTGAGACGCACTGTAACTATTAAATGTAAGAATAAAATAATTTTTTATTCATACATTCAGTTTCATTTTAAAATGCAGCAAATTGGTAAGTCGTGTTCAAGTTTGTTACTGTCAAAAAGATCTAACAAAGCGAACAGAGGTCTGGCTAATAATGTAATGTTTCTACAGAGTCACGAAAACTCAATTCCCTGTCTCGATGATTGTCAATAGCGGTAAATTGTGACTCTACGAATATTTGAGATTCAATGTAAGAGCAAACTACTTATAGTAAAAAATAGTATTATTTTATTCACTAGCTTTCGCCTTTGATTCCGTCCGC